CGTTTCTATGGCAACTGTGAGCGACTCATTACAATTATTTTGAAAGTAGAAATCACTTTGACACATTGCAAGGAATAAACATTGAAAGTTTCAAAACGATTGCCTGAGTAGTTATTGAGAAAATCGAAATTAAAGAATTTTAACTCTCACCTGGTTTCCATGGCAATAATCAATTATTTGAAAATTTTAAATGCGTAGTACACAACTACAGATACCTATCCTTAAAATAAGAAAAGTTTCATGACGAGCGTTTAAGGGACCAGAGAGAACACTCTCGGACAAAATTTGTCGCTTTTTACAGGTTTCCATGGCAACGGTAGACATATTGGAACTGAATGACCTCACTGCACAACTACAACCAGTGATCGTCCTTTGAGGAAAGTTTCAGGAAGATTGTCCCAGCCATCTCCGAGAAACAGCCTGGATAAAAAAAACATGCGTACAATATCAATATGTCGTCCCCGACTTCGTTCGGGGCGACATAATAACTCCTGAATTTTTCTCATCAATAACTCCTGAATTTTCCCCTTCAGTTCGAGTATTTCTGCATTGCAGAGAGCTGATGTATGTTATGAGATGATAAATCATGTGTAAACTTTCTCAGTTTAGCGGAATCATGAACATTTTCGGCGAGATGAATGTTTTGTATACAGTGGTGATCAAGGCTTCGCGAACCTTCAGGAGCGGATCAAAAGATTTTTGAATGAATAAAAACTATGAAAATGACGTACCAATTTTTTAATTTATACTTGCACTATCTAATGAAATGAATAATATACAAGTGATAGATATACAAGAAAACGCGAAATGATAATAAATGCAGCTGACAATCGTTATTTTTTTTTTATATAGATAAAATAAAATATTTATAAATTCAAGAGACAAAACAGGAGGAGAATGAATGATGGCAAAATATCACATGACGGGAACTGAATTTTATGAATGAAGATTTTAAAAAGTTACTTGTAAGTTGTATATGTTATATCTGTGTATTCTACCTGGCTGTGTGCTTCAAAAGTGGGGGGGGGGGGGGGGGGGGGTCGTCTTGAACATAGTAAATAGCCATAACGTTTGAACGGTAAGTACAAGGGCTTTCGTACTTCAAATATGTAATCCTTGTGAAAAGAACTTTTATTGGATACGACGAACTTTGACCCTTTGACCTGGACCTTGGAGAACACATGTGTACATCTGAATCTTTTTTTCTGTTTCGTTTCTATGGCAACTGTGAGCGACTCATTACAATTATTTTGAAAGTAGAAATCACTTTGACACATTGCAAGGAATAAACATTGAAAGTTTCAAAACGATTGCCTGAGTAGTTATTGAGAAAATCGAAATTAAAGAATTTTAACTCTCACCTGGTTTCCATGGCAATAATCAATTATTTGAAAATTTTAAATGCGTAGTACACAACTACAGATACCTATCCTTAAAATAAGAAAAGTTTCATGACGAGCGTTTAAGGGACCAGAGAGAACACTCTCGGACAAAATTTGTCGCTTTTTACAGGTTTCCATGGCAACGGTAGACATATTGGAACTGAATGACCTCACTGCACAACTACAACCAGTGATCGTCCTTTGAGGAAAGTTTCAGGAAGATTGTCCCAGCCATCTCCGAGAAACAGCCTGGATAAAAAAAACATGCGTACAATATCAATATGTCGTCCCCGACTTCGTTCGGGGCGACATAATAACTCCTGAATTTTTCTCATCAATAACTCCTGAATTTTCCCCTTCAGTTCGAGTATTTCTGCATTGCAGAGAGCTGATGTATGTTATGAGATGATAAATCATGTGTAAACTTTCTCAGTTTAGCGGAATCATGAACATTTTCGGCGAGATGAATGTTTTGTATACAGTGGTGATCAAGGCTTCGCGAACCTTCAGGAGCGGATCAAAAGATTTTTGAATGAATAAAAACTATGAAAATGACGTACCAATTTTTTAATTTATACTTGCACTATCTAATGAAATGAATAATATACAAGTGATAGATATACAAGAAAACGCGAAATGATAATAAATGCAGCTGACAATCGTTATTTTTTTTTTTTTTATATAGATAAAATAAAATATTTATAAATTCAAGAGACAAAACAGGAGGAGAATGAATGATGGCAAAATATCACATGACGGGAACTGAATTTTATGAATGAAGATTTTAAAAAGTTACTTGTAAGTTGTATATGTTATATCTGTGTATTCTACCTGGCTGTGTGCTTCAAAAGTGGGGGGGGGGGGGTCGTCTTGAACATAGTAAATAGCCATAACGTTTGAACGGTAAGTACAAGGGCTTTCGTACTTCAAATATGTAATCCTTGTGAAAAGAACTTTTATTGGATACGACGAACTTTGACCCTTTGACCTGGACCTTGGAGAACACATGTGTACATCTGAATCTTTTTTTCTGTTTCGTTTCTATGGCAACTGTGAGCGACTCATTACAATTATTTTGAAAGTAGAAATCACTTTGACACATTGCAAGGAATAAACATTGAAAGTTTCAAAACGATTGCCTGAGTAGTTATTGAGAAAATCGAAATTAAAGAATTTTAACTCTCACCTGGTTTCCATGGCAATAATCAATTATTTGAAAATTTTAAATGCGTAGTACACAACTACAGATACTAATCCTTAAAATAAGAAAAGTTTCATGACGAGCGTTTAAGGGACCAGAGAGAACACTCTCGGACAAAATTTGTCGCTTTTTACAGGTTTCCATGGCAACGGTAGACATATTGGAACTGAATGACCTCACTGCACAACTACAACCAGTGATCGTCCTTTGAGGAAAGTTTCAGGAAGATTGTCCCAGCCATCTCCGAGAAACAGCCTGGATAAAAAAAACATGCGTACAATATCAATATGTCGTCCCCGACTTCGTTCGGGGCGACATAATAACTCCTGAATTTTTCTCATCAATAACTCCTGAATTTTCCCCTTCAGTTCGAGTATTTCTGCATTGCAGAGAGCTGATGTATGAAAATGAAGATTTTTTTAAAAAGTTACTTGTAAGTTGTATATGTTATATCTGTGTATTTTTTTTATATAGATAAAATAAAATATTTATAAATTCTACAAAATATCACATGGCTGTGTGCTTTTAAAAAGTTACAAAAGGGGGGTGGGGGGGTCGTCTTGAACATAGTAAATAGCCATAACGTTTGAACGGTAAGTACTAGGGCTTTCGTATTTCAAATATGTAATCCTTGTGAAAAGAACTTTTCTTTAAACCAATTTAATTATCATCTTGAATCAGTTCTCTTAAAACCAAGCCACTTTTGAATGGATGTATATGCACTAAATTTTGAAATATGTGGCTTTATAAAGAGCATGGGTTTAAATGGTGATTTTTTTCATAATCACAGTGCGAAAATCGAACATCCATCTTTTGATAGATATGAAATATATAAGATGCCAGAATACCAAATAAAAATCATCAAGTTTATATCATAAATATAAAACTCAACCAAATATAATGTATTTTGACTTTGGTAGACTCTCAACACAATAATTAAATCAGAAATAGTAACCCACGCCCTACATTTTTCCGGTATTGTTTTGGTATAAAATAGTCTCTATTAATGAAGCTCTAAAAAATTAAGAAAAAGTCTTAAACTTTTTTAGATACAGAGGATGTGAATGACATATGGTTCCCTCTATAATATGAAATAATGAAACATAGGGGTAGATGATCGTTTTTTTGAGTTAGCTCGAATTTTCTCTGATTCACTTGAATTTCCTCTAATTTTTCCTCTTTAAGTAACATATGATGACAATAGATCTATATACACTTTCAAGATAAACTTTTTTTTACTTTGAAATGAACCATTAACAGGTTTATGCTTTATATATTAATAGACGAGAGAGTTCAAGATCACATACAGTGTATATACAGTTCCTTTTCATCATATTCAGCCTGAATTTCCTCTATTATTATTCATGAGCTGATATATTTGTTCTTAATTTTTTTTTCTTTTTCTTGTTTACCAAAAAAAATTAACAGAGACAAACTTTTTAAAAAATATATTTATACTTTTATGCGCCCGAATCGATAGATCAGGTGCATATTGTCTTTGCCCTGTCTGTCTGTTTGTCTCTTTATCTGTCTGTCTCTCTGGCTGTCAGTTATCCATCGCCATAACTTTTGAACCGTGAAAGATACAGACTTAATATTTGGTATGCATACTTTCCTTATTAGGCTCTTTCAAATGACACCAAGGTCAATGACCTTGTGACCTTGACTGTGACCTTTACGCTAAAAATAGCTTCTTGACCTTTCACCATTTCTTTTGAACCGTGAAAGATACAGACTTAATATTTGGAATGCATATTCCATTAATTAAGCTCTTTCAAATAACACCAAGGTCAATGACCTTGTGACCTTGACTGTGACCTATATGCTACAATAAACATTTTCGAACTTACTTGCCACTGGGCGGATAGTGTTTCACAAACACCTCTTGTTTTCAATCAAAAACATCAGTTGGTACTTTCAAATTCAGTCCATCAATCAACGTCAAAATGACTGAATTGTAAATTTTTTTCTTTTTTTCATAAAAACTCTAATTTTTTTTTATATAACTTGAATAGGTTCATAATATTAATATTAAAACGAATATTTTTTTGTTTTGGGGGGCAATTTATCCTTTTGCTATTGTTTTAATGTATTCATGAATAACTTTCGCATTTATGTAATTATAGAAAAAAAAATCAAATATTATTGCTTCTTGACAAAAAAGTAATTCATTGTATACTTTGTATACCGGCAATATAACATATTACTGTATATTTTATATATATAAACACTATATGTAAAAAAAAACAAACAAACAACGATTTGAATGCAATTCAATTGAAAATATATTTGAATTTGAAGAAAATTAAATTCATTAGAATTACATTTAACAAGTTAAAGTACAAGTTGTAAATGCAGAATTTTACCATGTAAGTTGACATAAATATTGCAGTTACAAGAACTAATCTTAAACTTGGTTTAATCAAATAATTCTCATATATTCATTTGATTTATAATTCAGAAACATTTCTCTTCAAAAGAAAATGTAAATGTTTTGATATCAGGACATTAGAACATGTAATGCAATAGAACATTAAATTAGAACAAATACATGTCATCAAAGTACTGGTACAACATCAAAACACAATGTAACAACTACACTGTACTGCTAGGTACAAGTTAACTTTCTCTCATTGATGCAAAATAATTAACAAGTTTGGCAATGACTTTCTTTGACTTTGTAACTCTGACAGACTTCCCACTCTGTTCACTGAACAAAGAATAAATACCCTCTACTGGATCTCGAGTGAAAGCAAGTTCAAGATGTTTGTACTGTAATCCACTACCTGCAATCTTTTTTGCAATTGGACAGCTGATGATTTTGTGGTTGAGTAAAGGTTGTAATGATGGTAAATTTGTTTGCACAACATTTGAATACTTGTAAAAATCTACAGCACTTGTGGTTGTAAAGGATGCTGACCTACAGCTTGCATTTGCATTCAATACATCAATATTTAGATAACATATCAAAGATTGAAGAGAAACAACATCACTGCGAGCATCATGTGCTTCATAACCTATACCTGCAAGGTTTTCACATAAGAATTCCTGTCTATAAGAAGAAAGACCAGGCCTCTCCATTCTAAAAAGTTTCAAAGTATCAATAAACCCCTCAACAATGTTAGAAAAACAGTCTAACTTATTGCAAGAATCTAAAGCATACATTAGAATGGGCGAGTCAAATGACTCAACATTGTGTCCCACAAGAATAACTCTTTTATGGAATTTTTCAAAGAAATTCAACAGCATATCAACTGCAGTTGAAATAGATGAAGCATCAACTTTTCTGCCATTGTGGTACATATTCCCGTCCTTGATGGATATGCCAGTAACATTTGTGGACTGTGGGGATATGGGCTTCTTTGGAAATACAAAACAACTGAACCGTTCCTCTCCAGCTGCAGCTGCTATCTGGGTAATGTGGGAAGTCCTTGCTGTAAAAATATAATAGAGGTGTCAAGAATGACTTGGGAATATGACATTAAAAAATCAGGGAAGTTTAATAATTGTATATTTATTTGTGTTTCAAATATATATTTCACATAACTGTATGATAAACTCCATAGTTGATCATACCTAATCCAGTTGTTTCCAAATCGAAATAAACTGGAACATATTCTTGGGACAATTGTACTGGTTCTCGCGTTGGAAAGAGAATGGGAGGAGGAATTTCTGTAACATCTCGATTCTCTCCACTTATGTCAATCTCGGAGCTGTATGTTATTCCCTCCCTGGTCTCCTGGCATGCATTTTTTTGCAACCTAGAAAGAGCATACTTTTAATTATGTTCTTCTTATACCTTTCTGATTTTGAAATTATCAGGTATATTGAAAAGTGAAAGAATTCAAAACGCTGATATAAATTAAAACCAATTAATGCAGAATAAATATTGTACATAACTTTAAATCTATAGATTTAGCTTTCTTTCAACTTTTTGACTCATAATTCCTAGATTAAATCCATGAAATTAAAAATTTATGCTTACTAGTATATTCCAGCTACTTTAGAAAAGTTGATAGAAAAAAAGAATTGTTGTTATAAACAGTTAACAGCTTAGGGGATATGTTTAAAAATATTTGTACATACCACCAAAAAAATAGATTTTTTACTGATACATCACATTATTTACTTACCTTTTGGCTTTTAATTCCAGTCTTCTCCTCTTTGCAGCTCTTGTCCTGTCCAGTGCCTTCCTCTTTCTATGTTGTAAATCTCTAAGCAGAGCCAACTTTTTGGTGTAAGCACCTGGAGATAATCCAGTCCTTGTATTTACCTGAAATGGTTTATTCATAGAGATACACTTGAAACGCTAATACATGTACATGTATTTTGACAATTATTATGAATATATAATTATATCAAAATTAAAGTTACATACAGTTTGATTTTGATTTCATTAACTGCAATTATATGGTAAAATATACATTGAATGTGCATTTCTCCACAACTGATGAATATTGATTATACCTTAGATACATAATTGTGCCCAATGTTTTTCTGCGCAACAGCTGCAGATACTCGAAACCATAGACTTCCAGATCCACTATAATGATTTTTCTTGGGAGCTTTTGATGCTATTGTGTTGTTTAAACTTTCATTGGCCTGTGTGGATCCAAGTTTGGAAATTTTTTGGCAGTGGCTCTTGTATTTGGAAAAGATATCGGCGAGCGCTTTCTGCAGATTTTTGTCAGTAAGGCACTTTCCAAATGGGAGCTGTCTGTACAGCTTGTGGGGGTCTTTCTTATGCTGGCACCACTCCGAGCAATGAGTATGATCTCCAAAGGGATGCTTCCACATGGCGTCTAACCCAACTGCTACTCCCTCTGGGTTATCCTTATTTTGGGATACCATGTAGGCCCAACATTTTTGAATATATCTGTAAATATACATTTATACCATATTGTAAGAGGTTATTGATTTAAAATTTAAATGAATGCAATATTTGGTCTTTCAAAAATTGGCCTGGTGTGCATGGCGTGTTGGCCAAGATGATATTGTGCATTATATTAATTGTGGAAAGTACCAAATTTATATGAAAATGTCTGGCCATTACAATTGTTATCCTCATCAACTATAAAGGTTATAGATAAGCAAATAATTCATATTATACTGTATTGAAAACCTCACCTGATTACTCTGTGTGATAAAGTTGGGTAAGTGCGCTTAAGAAGGTAGAGGCTATTGGTCAGGTTCTTTTTAATATGATTTTTATCTGATCTTTTTTCAATTTTCTGGTCAACTGTCTGGTGTAATTTAGAAATAGCTGATGCATCATCATCACCAACAATAGCAGCTGTATGTATCCCTTCATCCACTTTCTCCTTTACCATTTCGACAATCATGTCTTGTTCCATGGCCTTTGCGCTGCCTGTTTAAATGACCAAAGATTATTTAATTATTTTGCCGGATATAAAAACAAAAGGTCCATGGGCAAAACCATTCATCTGAGCACATTCTTGGCTCGGAAAAAGTTTACAGATGGACAGACAGACGTACTACAGAAATAAAATGTTATCAGAGAAGCTGGCATACAATGGATACCAAATTGTCAATTTCATCAGGCATTAAATGGTGTGTAGATTGAAATACTTGAAAAAGAGGTTTCATCTATGCTTTTTTTAGTCAATCTATTAAATTTTATTCATATTTACCATTCCAATTTTGTCTACAGTCATGTGGTTTAGGAACAGTTCCACTTTTAGATGCATTGCTACAAATACGACATGTCTTGTTTCGAACACTATATCCAACCACCTTTCCTGTTTGTGTCCCAATCATAGTTGCATGTCCTACAACAAATATATCATTTTTAAGACATGTACAAGTACACTGTTGGATTTAAAGAAAAACATAGCAAGTGTAAATATTTAAAAATGGACAAGAAAAATCAGTATGACACAGCATTTGTAATCTTTGATGCATATTGTCACCTCAAGTCTGCAATGTTAAGTAAAATACACTTAAAACAAAATGCCACGGATGGGCAATTAGCAAATTTTGCTTCGTTATGAATGTATTTTGTTATATCCTTTATCTTTTTACAATAATTCAAACCCACAGGGAATGAAAATCACTTCGATATAAGCATTAATTCATTGTAAGTATGTTTGCTTAAAGCAATCAAATTACCGGACAAACTGTCATATGCTTTTCCGCTGCCTCTCTTTTGCCACCCTGCATCTACCGAGACACATATCTCCCTCTGACCAGTTTCTCTGAAAATGGTTTTACATAATCATCATATATTTGGCATCACTAGTCAAACATTTTAAAGTTATTGCAGATTTTGGTGATATATAAAGAGGTACATTATGTGTAAACAAGATATCACCAAAGTCGGTGTGTTTGTGAAACACTTTGCACCCTGGCAACAACAAAGTTCTAAAAAGATACCGACTATAAGTAGAATTTTAGCGAGGGTGCCAAAATCGATAAAATTGAATATCGCTAAAAGTTAATTGCGTTTTATTTTTAATAGCTTCATTGATATGCATTTTAAAATCGCTAAAATATCATCTCACTAAAAATGAATTACAAGTTTTCAAGGAAAAATCGCTAAATTTGCGTCTTGCTAAAATTTCCACTTACACGGTTACTTTTAGCATATAGATCACATTCAAGGTCACAAAGTCCTTTACCTTTGTGTCATTTGAAAGAACTTAATTAGTGGAGTATGCATACCAAATATAAAGTCACCATCTCTCATGATTCCAAAGTTATGGCGAAGTTTAAAGTTGACAACAAATTATGAGATTATGAGGAAATTATTATACCTTTCTGTTGCATCACATTCTTCTTCTAGGCTTTCTAGAACAGAATCTTGTGCAACTTTTTCCACTGCCTGTCCAATTTCTGTCTGCCTCTTACTCATCAGTTTATGTTGAACAGGGGGAACATTTATAGCTGACAAAATGCTGTTGATTTGGGAAACCCCCACACCGGCATAAATCAAAGCTGCCAAACAAAAAATGAAGTCAAATTAAATACATGGAATATGGGTAAACTATTTAACATTTCTGTGAGGATAACGATTTTATTTCTCTAAATATTTATCTTCAAAGTATATTCAGATAATCAATAATCAAATTAATATCAATTAGTGTTCAAATTACCATTTGCTATTTTAGTATTTATATCCCAAATATGGGTTTTTCCATGTTGTTTTCCTGTAGGGACATTGTTCAAATATCTACAATCTGCATTGCTACATGGAACCTGCAAAATAAAATGCACCGTTAATGATCACATGAATAAGATTTTATATTAAATATGCAATAATCATGTATGTTAATGTGTACATGTACATACTACATATTTATGTACATACATAAATGTATACTAACATTTCCAATGTCTTTGTCCAAGATAAATTTACAAATAAACCTTTAGTAAAATAATGCACAGTAACGTAATTTTTACATAAATGTACTGGTTCATCAAAAGGAACAGTAAAAAAAAATCATGTGCTGCTAAGGGCTGTACAAATAGACAGGAGTTCGGACTTGTAGTACGTACTTGGAATGGTTGAATAAATATATAATAGCCTGTAAATATAAGGAATAATTGTCAGATTTTTTTTATTTTATGATGATGATCAATCTATTGGCTTGCATAAGAATTTTACACTTCACCTGTCCTCATTTATGCAAACTATCATGAAAGCCACTGGATTGATCACCTCATGAAATCAAAAAATTTGACAGTTATTTTTGATATATACATGTACTTTATGAGCAATGTGCTTTTCTGTCAAGTTGATATAGCTATTGGATCAGCCTCATTAAAGGGCTTTATTTGTATAAATACAGGTTCTGTCATATTCAGGAAAATTAATTAACCTAAAACAATCACATCAATGTATCAAATAGTTAAATATTTGCTACTTAATTTCATTTTTTAGACCCTGAGGCATACACATTTTTGACATAGAACAATACATATATTGTTTACACAACATCTTAGACATATTTGATTTACGCTAACTTTGACAATTTTAGGGGGGGCGCGCGCCGGGTGCGCCCCCCCCTTAAATCCGCCACTGCTCATCAATTACAAGTTTTCTTACAATCAAGAAGATTATAATCTCTATTGTTATGTTTGAAATCTACAGACATGCATATATGCATGTACTGTATACAGGGTTATTTTGCCCCGTCTTATTTTCACCCTTTTGCACTTGCGAACACTTTTGCCCCGTTTTAAATTCGCCCATTCATAGTTCTGTTAAAAAATTTATTCTGTGTTATTTAAATTCGCCCCGTTTTGAATTCGCCGAAGCAATAAGAGGGCGAAAGGAGCGAAAATTTCCCTGTATACAGTATGTAAAATTTACACATAATTTATGCAAATGTAAACAAACCTTTAAAATAGCTGCAAGACCGTAAGTTTTAATTGAAGTGGTGTGGGACAGCTGAAGTGGACTGGAGCAGTTCTTGCACGCTGCCAGCGCATTAGCGAGAACTCCCAATTCAACAATATGACGTCCACTGTCCCATGGGATGGATTGTTCTTGTGTATCATGATGACTATCATCATCTGTGTCAGTGTCTGAAGCACAGTCCACAACTTCTTCCACTGCAACATTGTTAAGGTCGGGAATTTCTGGTAAAAAAAAATTTTACTCAGAAATAGGAACAATTAGCTAAGTTCATAAATACTGACAAGTTCATACATAATGACACATAGTATAAAACATGATTAATAATTTTTTAAAAATGTCATCATACAAGTCTAAAAGTACACACAACCTGATCATGAAACATCCATCCTAAAAATAACCAACACTCCTTATTGACGGGTTACATAGTACATACTCAACCATAGCATATATAAAGAATTATTGGTTATTTATATTCAACCGCCTGCAAATAAAGAAACTGGGCAGGTGCAACTAAACACAGGGTCACCATGCAGATTATCTTTCTTAACTACTCACAGGGAACATCCTCCTGCAGTTATATCTCTCGATCCTTTGTATAACTAAATATTCATAGACGTCAGAATTGAGGGGGGGGGGGCTTAGCCCCCCCTTTTTTTGCAAAGAACAAAATATAGGCATAGAAAATTAGAGTTTACCTTTTTTGTTGGATTAGCCACCCCTTTCAATTTGCTTATAACGCCTATGAATTTTGAATAGAATTAGAATTTTTTCTGATAAACAAAAGTATGCTCAGCTTAGCTGATATTGCATGACCCATAAATATGAGCAAATTCTCTAGATATCAAATGCTCTATTTTTTCTAGTGACTCACTGCGAGTGTAGAATACCACGCAGCTACATGTAGGTCACTCCTGGCTCAAAAATATTTTGAAAAAGTCAAATAAAAACATAATTTTTATCTATATGTAGATGTAGCTATATAGCTAAATATAGTGATTTTCCTGGACCTGATGACTGTATATCAAAAAGCCGATTCAAAATATCAAACGGAATATTTTATTGAAAATTATTTGAGTTGGTAAACTTTTGATAAATTACTGGATAAAATAAAGAAAAAAATGGCTATGCATTCGTTTTATATTAAGTTGCGATCAACAATTTCTTTTTTTGTCACTGATTGTTTTAGTTATTTATTATTATTCATGTGCGATAATGCCCCATTTGGTGCCAGGCACATTACTGGAAGAAGAAGAAAATTATTACATACGTATCAACAACAGAAGTGTCATAACAATTTTATACATACTAGGCCTACTTGGTATTGAATAACTATGCTCCAACACTACCGCCTCTCCTTGTCTTTCCCTCTCCCATCTTCTTCTTGTGGAGGCAATCACTTTTTCATCTCGCTTTTTCCGCTTTTCTGTTTTGAAAACCATTTTATTTCCCGTTGTTTACATTTGTCGTTTCGGTCTGTCATGAGCATACGACACTTATGGTATGTCGTAAAATTTCCCGCTTCGAGACAAATAGAAAGTTGAGTGGAAAAATAGCAAAAAGATGTACTTTATTCATTTAACAGATCGAGTAAATTATTTTTTTTTACATACAGAATACTTTCTGCATTTATTGCACAATGCGCGATTACAACAATAGTGTCCTTATTACGGCAGTTGGAGTTGCGCAGTGGACTTAAAATTAACAGGATCGAACGTCGTTAAGTTATTGAGCTAAAACATACAGTAGTGTATGAAAAATAGGGTATTTTCCTAATTTCAACGGGAATTATAAAATAAAAAAATAAAAGGATTACAAAGAAATGAGCATCACTTTTTGAAAACTATACAATAAAATAAATAATTTAAAATAAAAACCTACTTTTTAGATCGACGCCTTGCCCTTGCACATTTTGATTAAAATCTTGGAAGTCTTAATCTAATTATAGTTGTCAAACGCATCATTGACCTGGGAGATAACTCTGTAGTACTTGATATTATAGTTTGTTTACCGCGTGAATTTTAAATATATATACCTGCAAACTGGTCTGGACTCTATTTTTACTAAATCAAAACGGTATGCATAAAAATCCATGACATTTCTTTCTATTTTGTGTATTCGTTCTCTATACATTGTATACATTAAATTTTAATCTATGCTAAAAGACGTCTTTCAAACCTCCCGCATTTCCTCAAAGATGTGGGTATAGGATTGCACACAAATAGGTCTAAATATTGTCGCACTATTTATGTCAAACACAAATGGTTATAAGAAATATAGCCTACATCAATAATTAACTAGTGCTAATTGTAACGGGGACCGTTACAGATGTTCCCCAAACGCTCCCCAACTCCCTTTTGGTGCCATATTCCCTGTAAGCTTCATTATATAACACAAACTCTATGCATTTAAGACTTTAACAACGTTTACCCAGAAATGTACCATGTTCATTAAAATTTTAGCATTGCATGTGTGCGCATGTGAATCATGTACGTAATGACCATATCATCTTGTCTACACAATCTATATATTTTAATATACTAAATATCTAAGTATTTAATCCAAAAATATAAAAAAAAATTCGCTCATTCAAGTGTATTTTTGATTTTGCTCATTTCACGTGTACGCTCGTGCATACATGAGCATAGTGACCATACCTTCTTGTAGAAGTTCATTACATCTATCTATGTTCTAAATCCCATCCCGTTTGGTTGAAAACCAAGGGAGTTATAGCTGTTTAAAGTTTCAGCCAATCAGATTGCAGCGCACTTACATGCATGTGTAGGCATGTGCATGGTGACCAAACTTTCTTGTATTAGTCCATTACATCCATCTATGTTCCAAATCCCATCCTGTTTGGTTGAAAACCAAGGGAGTTATAACTGTTTAAAGTTTCAGCCAATCAGATTGCAGCTCAAGTACACGCACGTGTATGTATGTGCATAGGCCATATCTTCCTGTAGAAGTCCATTTTATAAATCTATGTTCCAAATCCCATCCTGTTTGGTTGAAAACCAATGGAGTTATACCTATTTAAAGTTTCAGCCAATCAGATTGCAGCACACGTGCATGCACGTGTTTTCATGATAATTTCTATATATCATGTTGTAGGATGCCCTAATGCATGGCTATGTTCAAAATTTCAAAGGATTTTGTCAAAAAAACAAGAAAGATATTGAGACTTTAGTTTCAGCCAATCAGAACAAAGCGCACGTGCATGCGCGTAAGATCTTGCTATTTTGACCATGTCATCTTGTCTATATTACAAATATATCCTTACATTATGAGTTTCAAAGCATTTCATCAAAAATTACAAAAGTTACGCCTATATCAATTAAATCGGTCATTTCACGTGTTGCACGTGCGCGCTCTTGCAAGCACGTGCGCGCAAAATGACCTTCGTTCGGCAAATCTACATTACATGTCTACTGACCCTAAAAACATTTTACCTTAGTCTGATGTGTAGTTTACAAGATCACTCAAGGACAAAATTTTCCCAGGAATAATAATAATAACTAGATGCATTCTTGTTGCTAAAGCAACAAGTGGTCTTCCGACCGACTTTTCGTTAGAATTCTATGCTGCGTAATCCCATGAAATAGATTTCAGGATGTGTTTTTTGTTTGCGTTTATTCACAGCAGTCTCTCAACATACATCATGATAATTACAGGTATTCCTCAAAATATCTCAAAAAATAGCTTTTAAAAATCAGAATAATATTCCATACGTGTTGTAAAAGAGAGAAAAGTCATTTGCAACTGTAAAAAGACAGAAAAAAAGAAAAAAGATTTGAACGCCTCCAGTGGGATTCGAACCCCCGACAGTGGGACACAGTTTGGTTCGGTCATATCTTTTCAATATATGCACGCATCAAAATACTGAACACATATTTAGAATTCTTATAAGACACACTATAAACCCTGTAAATCCTAAAGAAAAATATTGAAAAACAAAAAAGTTGAGAAATAACACTTTTTGATTTCACTTCCGTTTGCGACCGGAAGTGCCGACGACAAAAAATAAAGGTCGTTGCCCATAACGGAGTTCGATGTTCTATTACATCAGTGAGTTTCACTTTCATATCCTTAATCGTTCTCGAGAAAACTGCTGGACAAAATGCCTTTTTAAAAATACAAAAATCCCCAAAAATCGCGAACGGAAGTGAATTTTGAAAAAATGAAAAACACGTCTGGAGATATTTTCATGATGCATCATCCCTGTAAAAATCTTTTAAATCCGTCCATGCATAGCTGAGATATCGCCGTAACTATGAAAAAAAGAAGAATAATAATAAAAAACAGACGAATAACAGTAAGGTCTTCCGAAGGAAGTCGGAAGACCTTAACTAGATACGTTCTTGTTGCTAGAGCAACAAGCGGTCTTCCGACCGACTTTTCGTCAGAGTTCTATGGTGTGTCATCCCATGAAATAGATTTCAGAATGTATATTTTTGTTTACGTTTATTCACAGCAGTCTCTCAACATACATAATGATAATTACTGGTATTCCTCCAAATATCTCAAAAAATAGTTTTTAAAAATCGGCAAAATATTCCATACGTGTTATAAAAGAGAGAAAAGTCATTTGCAACTGAAAAAAGACAGAAACAAAGAAAATTTTTTTGAACGCCTCCAGCGGGATTCGAACCCCCGACAGTGGGACAAAGTTTGTTTCGGTCATATCTTTGCAATATATGCACGCACCAAAATACTGAACACATATTTAGAATTCTCATAAGACACACTATAAACCCTGTAAATCCTAAAGAAAAACATTGAGAAACAAAAAAGTTGAGAAATAAGACTTTTTGATTTCACTTCCGTTTGCGACCGGAAGTGCCGACGACGAAAAATAAAGGTCGTTGCCCATAACGGAGTTCGATGTTCTATTACCTCAGTGAGTTTCACTTTCATATCTTTAGCCGTTCTCGAGAAAACTGCTGGACAAAATGCATTTTTAAAAATACAAAAATCCCCAAAAATCGCGAACGAAAATGAATTTTGAAAAAATGAAAAACACGTCTGGAGATATTTTTATGATGCATCTTCCCTGTAAAAATCTTTTAAATCTGTTCACGCGCAGCTGAGATATCGCCCTAACTATGAAAAATAGAAGAATAATAATAAAAAACAGACGAATAACAGTAAGGTCTTCCGATGGAAGTCGGAAGACCTTAACTAGGAGACTTATTGTTCACAGAACAATAAGAGGTCTTTCCACCTTCTTTGAATTTTAAATTTGTTTTATATCGGACTACTAAAAATTAAATTCCAAGAAAAAGAAACCAAAACTCCCTTAATGCATAGAAAAAATGAAAATTTAAAAAAAAAATGAATGACCTTGACCTTTGACCTTGAAAAATATTCAAGGTCAAAGGTCAAAGGTCACAATGCAGTTGTCCCCATGCTTCTATGATTTATAGTTTTCAAGTTATAAGGTTTAATAGTAAGTACAAAAAACTTAAAGGGCAATAACTCATATCACATTAGTGAAGCTTTGGTGTCTCTACAGTCTACGGTTTCGGAGGAGGTGCGATAACAAGGTTTTCCGCACAAGGGGCGATAACTTTTGAAACGGTTAATATTAGGGGACAAGAGTGAAATCTTTGAAACAGTTTTAAGAGTACATATTAATGATGCATAGACATTAAGTATATGTTTAAAGAGAAAAGAGATATAAAAAGAGCTAAATTTCTCATATTTGGAATGACCTTGACCTTTGACCTTTAAATGAATTTGAAGGTCAAAGGTCAATAAATCATATGCAGTTGGTCCCATGTCTCTACGACTTGTTGTTTTGAAAATTTTTAATTTTGTGTTAAATTTAAAAAGTTTCAGGGGCAATAACTCATTGAAGGGGGTCAACAAATGCTTTCGCAATGAATAGATTGAAGAGTCTCCTAAATTAGTCAAAGACATTGGTGAAGGTTTCATTCCTCTACAGTTTACAGTTTGGAAGGAGTTACGAAAGGGGCAATAACTTTGAAAGGGGTCAAGGTTCTTTTAAGCAGGGTGATATGCAATAATCTTTTAAAGAGTACATTCTTATGGACTATAAATCTTTTCGATAAATCTTCAAAAAAAAACGTGCCGCGGAAAAATTATAAAAAAAAAAAAAAAAAATAATAATAAACAGAAGAATTTCAATAGGTCTTTCCACAGAAAGGTGGAAAGACCTAATAACTAGAAAGTCTGCTATTGCAAGCAATAGCATATGTCGCCCCGTACTGGACAAGACTTTCATTTTTATCATCACTAAAACAATGGTCCATTAGCTAAGCTTGGACAACCATCGAGTCGTATTAGTACTTTCCGTTGGAAACGGAAGTCCTTAATTGGGTACATCCCATTTTATTTTTAGAATCGGTAGGAGAAGAAAGTAGTGCAGGAAAATTACAAGTTCCTAAATTTGCAGAATTGCATAAAAGAAATTGGGCAGATGTACTGAACTGAGCCTCATACTTGTTAATTGGCAGTATCTTTCCTATGATAAAAGGTTGCGAAATGTAATCTATGAAGAAGATCAGCCGAATTATTTTGTGTATAGTAACGCCAGTGAGAACTCTGAAATTTCCCTCTTTCACTTTCATTTTAGAGGTTCTACCGAAAAACGAATCTGACATGCCACCATCAATTCGAGTATTTGTGCATTGCAGAGAGCTGATGTATGTTATGAGATGATAAATCATGTGTAAACTTTCTCAG